TTTAAGTAGAAATGTAATTTGTATATTTTTAAATCAAACTATAAAGTTTACAAAATGTATATACACACACACACACACACACACATACATCCACTCACTGGGACACAGAGACAGAGAGGAAGTGAGAAACAATGTCCCAGGGTGGATGGCCAAGCTGTCATCCCCTTTCCAGTCTACTCTTGGGATTTGGGGTACCCATGCACACATGCCCAGCATGAGTTTCAAACCTTCAGGTCAAGGAATCAAATGCTGTCAAACATGTGGGAGTCCAGTGCCTTAACCACCATCTCACCCACTAGGCCCATAAAATATATATTTTTTTAAAATCTCTTACTTATACCTGCTCACCTCTGACCCTCCATCATTCCACTTTCAATCTTCAAAAATAACCACTGTAAAGCTGTATAGATTCTTGCAGAACTTTCTATGTCTGTTTGCATTTGAATAAAGGTAGTATTTTTTAAAAAAGCACTCTCATGTTTGTGGTGTTAGGACATCCTGCCTCTACTCTTCCATATACCAAATACTACCTTTTAATCTGCACTTCAGCACCCCCCCAACTGCCTCCTTTCAAGGGCTCCAACCTCCAGAGTATGTCCACAGCACTATAATATGTCTTTAATCCTTTAGTGGTGGACATACAGGTTGCCTCTAGCTTATTCTATTACAAATAAACCTTTATATGTCCTCGCATCATTTTGTAAATATTTCTGCAGGTTTTGGGTTGTCAGAAAAGTCATGACGCATTTTTTTTCTGTTTTTCTAGGCAAAAATGCACCATGACTTTTCTGACAACCCAATAGCTGGCAGAGGTGCAAGGCTGGACCAGGGACTGCCGATTTCAAACGCTAGTGCTGGTAAGTATTGCCAAACAGCCCTCCCAAGAGCTTGTGCCAATTATCACTCATATCACCTGCATCTGAGAGAACATTTTGATTGAAACCTGAACTTTCCAGTGTCCTACGAACTCGGAGTACTTGATGGTAAGCCCAATACTGAGAAGTCATTACACAGAGCAAAAGCCAACCAAGTAGCTTTGGCCACTACCAAATAATTATTTCAAAACTATATGATATGATGGAACCAGCAGTTAGCGTAATGGCTATGTCGCTGGACTCCCAAGTAGTCGACCGTGGTTCAAGTCCGGGACCCGGTGGCTTAAAACTCACGCTGGGCGCGTGTGCGTGCGTGCCCAAGATCCCGAGAGGCGAATGGAGGAGAAGGGATTGCGGCGTGACCATCCCGCCTGGAGGGTGATTTCTCGCTTTCTGTCTCTGTCTGGAGCGCACGCACCCTATAGCGAAAAACCTCTCCAAAAAAAAGCGCTATATGATATGAGTCCAAAGTCGGAATACTAACCTGGGGTCATAACCAACGCAAAAAGCAATTGAAGAAAGGCCATGGTTTACTCAGGAACCTCTTGCTTCTTCAGAGCTACCTAGCTCCATCCAGCCTGTTCCTTTGTGGACTTCTAATGAGTTGACCCTCTGTGTACGGCGTCTCCTCAGGACAAACTTCTTTCTCTAGGTACTCTGTCTAATCCTTCCCCAAGAGAAAGTTCTCGCTGAGTGATCTGTAAAATGATACCTTGTTCTTCCAAAGGGCATAGTCTCCAGCAGGGGGATTTGTTTGAACCAGGTGAACAAACTTCCAGTTCATGTTTCCCCACACGCAAAGGTCCCCCAAATCCTGGTAAATCTGGGGTGGTCAGAATTAGTGGGGATTCTTCAGAGAAGGGGCAGCTCCAGAGACTCCATTTTAAAAAGAATTCAGTTTCATAACATCTCCAGGTCACGAAAGTACATTGCCCTGCCCTGCTTTATGTATTTATCACACACAGATTTGGAATCAAGACCCAGAATCTCTGTTTGCCAAGTTTGTGAAGGGCTTCCAGGTTACCAGGTGACGTTAGTATGTAACCAGACAGAGATAAGATGCAAAAACAATCTAACAGTTGCCCAAGAGTCAAGCTAATAAGCTTAAGTTAAAACTTGGGGAGGGGAGGAGAGGGGGGATCTGTATCTCTCCAGCAACTGCATGTGGCCTCAAGCAAACTGGGGAAAAAAAAAAAAAGGAAAATTTTGGAGGGTAAATCAGCTTTAGGATCGGTAATGGGAGAGATCTGACTGAATGGAATATTAACATAAAAACATCTCTGCAGGCAGCGAACTGATGACCCACAAGCTAAATATGGTCTGTAGATCACATTTTTAAATGGATGAAGCTTCTTAAAAATTTGAAGTTTGGGGCCAGCAGGTGGCATTGTGGTTAAGACACCGGACTCCCACATGGTGGACTGCAGTTTGAGTCCTGCACCTGGGGGCTTACTTTCTCATTTTCCCTCTCTTTCTCTCTCTCTCTCTGTCTCTGTGTCTCTCTGGTAGGCACATGTGTCCTGTAGCAAATTTAAGAATAATAATAATAATTGACATATTAAATCATTTTTAAGAGAGATTTTCACTATTAGGGCATGTGCATTTGCTGGAGACACAGAGAAAGACAGAGAGAAAGTGAGAAATCATCCCCTGGAAAGATGGCCAGGTTGAAATCCCTTCTCCTGCATTCTCTTCTCAAGATTTTAAACACACATGCACATATGCCCCATATGTTTCAAGCCACCAGATCCAGGCCACAAACCACCACTGGCCATGCAGCAGTCCAATACCTTAACCACTATGCCACCTGCTGGCCTCCCAAATAATTCTTCAAAAAAAAATTTTTTTTTTTTAAGTTTAGGGCCAGTTGGTGGTGTGGTGGTTAAGGCATCTGGGTCCCACGTGGCTGACTGGTTTGAGTCCCAGATTCCAAGCCATGTATGCCCAAAATCCTGACAGAAGGGAGAAATGGAGAAGAGATTGCAGTGTGGCCATCCCCCATGGAGGGTGCTTCATCACTTTCTCTCTCTCTTTCTCTTTTCTGTAGGAAACAATTCCTCTGGCACAATTAAACAGTTTTGAAGTTTAATTGGATTTTATTGGCCCAGCACTCTAGTTTACCAGAACTTCCATCCTACCCTATTACACCCAAGCTTCTCATAGCACCCTGCCTGGCTTCTGCAGGAATTCATGTTTGCAATCGCTGACTTAGAGGTTTCAATCAATTGCTATTTCCACAGGAGTCACATGTTGTTATGGTTACCTAAATAGGATTATGCAATCTCAGATGGGTCCAATAGAAGGATAACGTTGAGAACAAGGGAGATTATGGTTTGACTGTGTTTTGCCCTGTTCCGGTTGGCTTTTTGGCCTTTTGCTTTTCAGAGGAATATTTACCAGGGTCCACAGAATGATCATGTGAGGATGACTCCAAGCATGTCCTGTGAATGATGGTTGAAAAGAACAGACCTAGAGGGAATTCCTGATTTGGTGGCCCTCTCTCTAGCTATCTGCCCTCCTTAGTTACATCAGTACAATCTTAAACACCTACACAGTCTTGCACACACAGAAATGTGTACAACATAGACACATGCATGCAAGAATAATGTAAAAAAATGCTCTTTTCCTAACATTAAATTAATCCCATTCATCCAGATATTTAACAGAATATGCTAGAAGATGGCAATACCAATAATCACACAAAAAACATTTATCTATGGTTAAATAAATATTGCTCATTTACGTATTCATTCATTCAAGCGCCTATTATTTATTGTGTACCAGGGATTCCAACAGATGAAGGAAAACAGACCAGTCTCAAGCACGTGCCTCTCTGGTCAAAGCACATCAGGTATGCCACATTCCAACGTTTCTCACAGTGTGGGACAGAGGCTCATCTGCACTCACACACCTTGTGTTCTCCTTCAAACATAGGTTCCTGGGTTCGATGAACACAACTTTCTATCTCACTTGCATTTCATCATAAAACAATGGCTTGGGTACTATTCGTATTCCCATGTTAGAGAAAACAAACACAGCTAGGCTAAGTGAATTGACTAAGGTCACAGAGCTGAGCTGGAATGAGAAACCAGATATAATTCCCAAACCCACTCTTTTTAACCCTCAGGGGTGTATATACTCTGTTCCTGGCTATTTTAATTTTTTTTCCCACTAGTCCTGAAACACATGAGACTCTTGTTACTCACAGTACGATACGCAGATCAGCATCTTCAGTGTCACCTGGGAGTGTGTTAAAAGTGTAAAGACTTGGATCCCACCCTAGACGTACTGCAAATCATTTTAACAAGATCCCCTGGTAAATCATATGCACATGGAAGTTGGAGATGCATGCTCCAGGGAATGGATTAATACAAACACTGAAAGCAGTGTAATTTTTGTACTTCCCAATACCTTTTTAGAGTTTTCTTTCTAGTTATTTCAGACAGAACAACTCAAAGCCTGGAGTGTGACGGGAATAAAGCCTAGTGTTTGCTGCCACCTTGTGGCAAGAAGTTCCAAACCAGACAGAATCTGATTTTCAGGAACTAAGTAGGGGAATGTTGGGAGTGTAGGCCAGGTATTCAACTTTTTCAGTCACGTGCTTTGGCAGACCACTATACAATTTCAAGATGTGATGAAATAGCTCTTGGGTCCAGACAACAACGGCCTTTTTCATGTGTGTCTCACAGGACAGAAAGAACATTCACCAGCTCCAGGTGAACGATCTCACAGCTGTTTCTGGTGACCAACAGATGGCTGATATTCCTTTAGGTTATTTCCTATGGAATTCGAACATGAACATCTGAATTTGAGGGTGAGTTTACTTATTCATTTATTTTTGCCAATCCATTGGCAGTGATAAGACAATCCGACCGCTATTTCTACATTTACCCTGTCCAAGAATCCGTGAAGTGTTCCACAAAGTGCCATGGAATTTGCCACAGCTCTGTCATATGCATCATTGGTGACCTCTGTGAGCCATAAACAGGGCTAACTTCACAAATACTGCCTCTGACACCTGGAGAGGAATGAGGAGGTGGCTTCAAAAATTTCCTATGTACTTTACCCCCAACAGCCCAGAACTTGACAGTGCCCTCCGTCACAGGATGCGTTGGGTTCCAAGTTTGCGCTGAAAAGCTAAAGAACTCAAAACAGCTAGTACAAGTGAAGCTGACAGCAATGGACCGCTCTCAGATGTACATATCAGAGCCCTTCAAAGTAGCCTATGGAAAAGTTGGCCAGTCACGAAGATTCCAGCAACTCAAAAAGAAAAATGGCTCCATCAAAAAGAAGGGGATTGAAAGGTAGGTAATGGGACTCACTTTCTTTTCTGTTAAGTCTTCAGATTTGGGATTAAACAAAATTCACTTCGATGATCAGAAAAGGTAGCCTCTCTTGTCAAGCACTGCATTTAGAAATGAAGACTTGAGCAGGTCTCATAGTGCATTGTTTAGTCCTGTGTAGAGGAAGCCAGAGCACACATGGCCGGTCAGGGTTCGAGTCCTGGTCCTGATGGCTTATGTACTAGGTGCACTTCCATGTCCAAACAGCTTGGAGAATTGGAGAAAAAAGGATTAGAGCATGACCAAACCACTGGAAAATGTTCTCTCTCTAACATGAGTGTGCACACATACATACTCTCTGGCATCATAAAAGGAAAAGAAAGAAATGAAGATTCATGAGTCTAAAATGAAGGCTAGATTGGAGAAACGGGATATGACATTGAATTAGGAAATAAAATGGAGGTTTCATTTTATGGTCAGAAAAGTCTTAATTGTAACTAGAAACACCTTTTTTTTCCTACATGAATTTGAGTTTTAAGGTAACATATAAAACTGCTGATACTAAGTTGATACTGCAGCATCAGAATTTTATATATTCCACATCTCAAGCAAATGCTATGATTTTGAACTCATTAGTGCTTTCTTTTTAAGTCCACAATCAATAATTTCTGTTCACCATCCCAGCAATTTTGGCTACAGAAATATCTACTAATTATATTTTACCCACATACACATTCATTTTTTTTTTGAGAGGTTTTTGCTATAGGGCACGTGTGCTTGCCAGAAAGACAGAGAGAGAGACAGACAGAAAGCAAGAAACCACCCCCCAGGGGGGTTGGCCATGCCGCAATCCCTTCTCCTCCATTCTTCTCTCGGGACTTGGACACACACACACACACACACATGCGCCTGGCATGAGTTTAAGCCACCGGGTCCGGGACTTGAACCACGGTTGACTACATGGAAGTCCAGAGACATAGTCATTATGCCAACTGCTGGTCCCATCCATGTGCACATTCTTTAATGTAACATTAAAATTGTATTAGATTGAATATTGCTTGCCATTGGGAATACCTTAAAGATGGACATGAAATACTTCCTATGTAATATATATTTTAAAGAGTTATTTTATTTAACTTTATTTATTTTACTTATTTTAATTTGATCAGAGAAGGACAGAGTGAAAGAGAGAGAGAGAAAGTGAGAAAGCAAGCCACCAGGTCTAGGATTTAAACCATGGTCGGTCATGTGGGAATCCAGCGTCCTTAACTACCATGTCACCTGCCAGCCCCCTTCAAATGTAATATTAGGTCATTAGGAACGTCATGACACATTTTTGCATAGAAAACCAGAAAAGTATGTCACAACTTTCCCAACAACCTAATACCTGTTAATTTGAAAAGTCAGTATGTTGACTTAGTTCCCAATGTCTTTGGGCGGTTCTCTTAACAGGTCCATGAGTTACTTATAGTTCAGACATGATATGTAGAAGTGAGGTGTTTTTATGAGTTCTGAAGCATCCAAGACCAAATTTCTCAACTTCCTTGGACAAAAGTGAAATATTGCAGACCTTTTCACTTTCAATTAGAAATAGGAACTTAATGGGGAAACAATACAGCCAAATAAACTCAGTACCAACAAAACTATTTGAAAACTTAAGAAGAGAAAGGTTCTCCTCATAACAAAAACTATGACAGTTTTGTCCCTAGGGCCTGGAACAAAATCATCTTTGTTAAGTAGGTTATACATAGATCAGGGATGGGGAGGGGAGTGAAAGTGGGTGACATAGACTAAGAGATTGCTAAAAGCTAGGTTTTTTTATCTGAGGGGTTGCCCAGATGACCTCCAGGATTCTCCCGAAATTGTATTTCTGCTGTTGTGTGAGGACGTGTCATATTTATAGCAGTAGAAATTATTTTAAAATGTCAAAGAGGCAGGGACCAGCAGATGGCATAATGTCACTAGATTGCTAGATTACAGCACTAGATTCCCATATAGTCGACCATAGTTTGAGTCCCAGGAGTCCGAGGCCCGGTGGCTTGAAACTCACACTGGGCATGTGTGTGTGGGTGCCCAAGATCCCAGGAGGAGAATGGAGGAGAAGGGATTATGGCATGGCCATCCCTCCAGGGGTATGGGGTGGCGGATTTCTTGCTTTCTGTCTCCCTGTCTCTGTCTTTCAGGTGAGCACACGCACCCTATAGCAAAAATCTCTTTAAAAAAAAAACAACTCAAAGGGGGTCCATGAGAGATTAATCCTAATTAATCCTAATTAACCACATGTGTACAATTCTCTGAACTATGTCCTGGAACCAGGAGGGAGGCTGCTAGCCACGAGGTCTCCTTTTTCTGTCCTTTGGTTGTGCTACCTCTTCACCATTTTCATTTCCCCCCACACAGATCTGATCCACATGATTATGAAAGTTAGCAGTTATTGAATACTTCACTAGGTTCCAAACACATAAATTATTTCCTTTTATTCTCTCCTTTCTGAAAATAATAAAATCGTTTACTTTTTTTTTTTGGTGTTTCCATTTAGACACAGAGAAAGAGAGAGGGAAAGTGAGAAAGTAAGCCGCCAGGTCTGGGACTTGAACCATGGTTGGCCATGTGGGAGTCTACCCTAACTGCTAGACCACCAGCTTGCCTTTTGTTTTCATTTATAATTTAATTTTATTTATAATTTATTATTTATATTTAATCATTGTACATCTTTGCAAGGTACAACATGGTTTTTCAAAGCATGCATGCAGTATATAATAATCAAACCAAAGATATTATAGACACAACAATGCATATAAACAAGGCAAACAGGTTATGGAATGGTATACCACAACAGAGTTAAAACGGAGATGGGGGTAACAGGTGGCATGGTGGTTAAGATGCTGGACTCTCACATAGTCAACCACAGTGTGAGTCCCAGATCTGGTGGTTTGCTCTCTCACTTTTCCTCTCTCTTTCTCTCTCTGGTCAAATTAAAAAATAATAATAAAATTTAAAATTTTTTAATTTTTATAAAAAGGACATTGCCAATTGTGTGTGTGTGTGTGTGTGTGTGTGTGTGTGTGTCAAAAACAAAACAAAACTAGTAGAATAAAAATCAAAGGTGTACAATAAAATGTAATGCTCTTTGTTGAAGATGGTGAATATGAATGAGTTTAACCATTTCCAAATGAGAAAATCAAAGCTTACAGAGGTTAAATAACATGGCCAAGGTCACACAGTTAGGAGTCATAGCTCTGAGTGGAACCAAGACCATTTAACTCCAGTGCCTGAGTGCTCACCGAGCTACTTTCCACGCATGATTACAGAGAAGGCTGAACAATTTCAGTTCCGCTTAGAACAGCATTTTCCTGGGGAGTGGAACACATGCTGGTGGCACTGAGATACTCTAGGTGGTATCTGAAGAACACTTTTAGTGCTTATGAATGTATTTTAATCCATATTAAAATATGTATTATAAATATGAAACAACAGAAGAGCATAATATAAAATTTGGGATTTCACTTAGAGAAATTAAGTTTCTTTTTTTTTGAGAGGTTTTTGCTATAGGGCGTGTGCGCTCGCCAGAAAGACAGAGAGAGACAGAGAGACAGAAAGCGAGAAATCACCCCCCAGGCCGCTGCAATCCCTTCTCCTCCATTATTCTCTCGGGATCTTGGGCACGCACGCACACATGCCTGGCATGAGTTTAAGCCACCGGATCCGGGACTCAAACCGCAGTCGATTACATGGGAGTCCAGGGACATAGTCATTATGCTAACTACTGGTCCTGAGAAATTAAGTTTTATGTTCATATAAAAGCAATGTATGCAGATGTTAAAAGCAGCTTTATTCCTAACAGCCCCAAACTAGAAACAACCCCAATGTGCTTCAACAAATGAACGGTTAAACAAAGTGGGATACATCCCTATCATGGAATATTACTTGGCAAGAAAAAGAAACAAACTACCAATACAAAGAATCTGGATGAACATCCGAAGAATTAGGCTGACTGAAAAGAACAAATTCCAAAAGATGATATAAGAGAATTTCAAAAAGTTTATGGAAAATATAGAATTTTAAATATGAATGATTTCAGTGCAATCTTTGGAGGAGCCAGACGATGGTGCAGCAGGAAAACACAATGCTCCCCAAGGCTAACCCACGTGGGAGGGTTCCTGGTTCTCATGTGGAGAGCTTCCTGAGTATGACAAGTACATATGTGCTCATGGTTCAGGGATGGCTGAAACTGGAGGATGGCTTGTGGGGGTGCTGTCTGTCGGTATATCTGTCTGTCTGTCTCTCTCTCACTCACTTGTTAATGGAAGAAATAAGCAAACAATTTTTTAAAAAATTGAAATCCATGCATAGACTTTTTTTACCATTCATATTTCCATGAACTTTTTGAAGTCCCCCCCCCATGTCATATGATTCCATTTATATACCATTCTTGAAAAGTCAAGAATTATGCAAATGGAGGATAGGTTAGTGGCTGCCAGGGTTAAAGAGAAGGTGGGGATGAGTAGGAAGTGGGTGTGGCTCTAAAATTTGAGATCCTGATGGTGCTAGAAATGTTCTGTATATTGACTGTGGCGAAGTCAGCATCTTGGCTGTGAATTTATACTACAGTTTGGCAAATGTTACCATTGGGGGAAACTGGGTGAAGAGTACACAGAAGGAATATTTATTCTGTTAGGGAATCAAGTGTTGCCTGATTCTAAAACTGCAAATAGAGTCCATTGAATTTTCAAGGGGGAAAAGTAAAAGAGCACAGAATCTTCCCGTGTATTATTTCTTACAACTGCATGTGAATCTACAATGATCTCAAAATATAAAGTGTAGGCCTAGTCACAGTACTGGCTTCTGATTGAAGCCGTGACTCAGCCAGCCAAGACCACAGCTGGCCCACTATAAAAACCAGACAGTGGTGGGCGTCTATAGTCCCAGCTACTTGGAGGCTGAGGCAGGAGGATGGCAATTTAGTGAGGGCCTGTTTAAAAATAAATAAATAGGGCCAGCAGATGGCACAGAGGTTATGGTGACTGGATCCTACATGGCCAACTGTACATTTCAAGTTCTGGACCCAGTTTCTTGAAAAACTCTCCATGCATATATGCCCAAAACCCTGAGAGAAGAATGGAGAAGGGGTTGTGGTGTGGTCATACTTTCCCTCTCTCCCTCTGCAAGGGTACTTGCCCTCTAGCAAACAAAATAAATAAGTAATTAAAATGTTTAATTTTTAAAAACCTGGGATTTTGTGAACATTATTGCTTCGGATGAGGGTAATAACAAAAAATGTTGAAGAAGAATATTAGTACATAATTGTATCTTGGCATGTAATATTTATTCTGACATAGAGGTTAACAATACATACCTTGGAATAGATCATCTGGACATAAATTATTTTATCTCCACAAGCTTTAATTTTCCTCCTTTGTAACGTGGAAATGACAATGCAAGGAATAAATTATATACCACAAATGAAAGCACTTAGCAGAGTTTAACACATAAGAAGCTGTCTATTTTCGTTACTAAAATATGCACAAATTATAAAGATGACTGGAAATTTTTGAAACATGAATTTAAGAGTATGTCATCTAGGGGCTGGCAGGTGGTGTGGTGGTTGAGGGCGCTGGACTCCCACATGGCTGATCATAGTTTGAGTCCTGGATCTGGTGGCTCGCTTTCTCACTTTCTCTCTCTCTCTTACTCGGTCCCTCTCTGGTTAAATTAAAATGAGTAAATAAAGTTAAATAAAATAATACTTTTTTTTTTTAAAAAAAAGAGAGAGTATGTCATCTAAATGAGTGCTATATGTAAATGCTTGGCGTTTATATTCCTTGTTGATGACCTAGCAGTTTCTCACACCTCTCATAGTTGTAACCTCAAAATTGACAGATCCAGCAAAAACTCTCTCCAACCAGCACTGAAATAAGATTGCCAAGTTGCCAACAGAGCTAATGTAGCCTAACAGTCACAGGTTTGGGCTAAAATATATACTCTATTCTTGGTCAATTAATTTAATCTTTGTATGTCTGAGTTGACTTATTAGTAAAATGAAGATAATAATATAACCTACCTCAAGAACAGCAGATGGTATAGCAGTTACGTCACTGGACTCCCACATGGCCGACTGCGGTTCAAGTCCCAGACCCAGTGGCTTCAGACTCATGCCAATTGTGTGTGGCACACCCAAGATCCGAGGAGGAGAATGGAGAAGGGATTGTAAAGTGGCCATTCCCCCTGGGGGGTGCTTTCTCGCTTTCTGTCTCTCTGCTCTGTCTCTCCAGCTAGCACACACGCCCTATAGCAAAAATTTCTCCAAATAATAAGAATAATACAACCTACCTCTTACATTGATATAATCATTAAATGAAATAGTGACCAGGTTGCCCTTGTTATAATTCGGCAATAAAACAGCAAGAAATTGTGTTGAGTTTATTTTTCTGTGATTTAATTCTTAGTCCTCCATTTTTTAAAAACTGTATAATTTTATTCACATTCTAAGTTTGAATGAATAAGTTAAAAACTTATTTGTTTTTAATTTTCCAATTTCTTGAATGCAAATTATTTTTCTTTTGTTTAGATGGCATAGAGCTGTGTCTACCAACTTAGTAAAACAAAATGTACTGGTCCCCAAAGAGGAATCATCCAGTGATGGTGACATGGGGTTTCATGAAAGCCAGCAAAATCAGAAAAAAAATTTGATGAAGAAAGTGAAAACTGCTTTTGGCAGGATGCTGTCATACAAATACAGAAGCAAGCCAGCAAGTGCCAACAGAGAAGCCTCCACTCACCATAAGGAAGTCCTCCTCTCAAACACACAGAGCCTTCTTCCCAGAATGGTCAAGGAGCTTCCATCTCCCAAGTTATTTAGCAAACCAAGAATGAGAAAGCTCTCAGAGAATGGTAATCAAAGACAACTGAGCACTGTGTCAAAGCCAAGAGGAACTGGGAAATTGGGGTGGATTTTCTTGCTACCCAAAGTACGGTGCCTCTGCAGAGCTTGTGTGAAACACAGAGTCTCAGGCCTAACCAGGTCTGAGTCAGAATCTGCACTTCAGAAAGATCATCACTTGACTCACATACACATATATTGGGTGGTCTGAAAAGTCATGACACATTTTTGGATAGGAAAACATAGAGAAGTATATGTCATGACTTTTCTGACAGCGCCGTATGTGGCAAGACACTGTATTAGATTGATTTTGAGGTTCCTCCCAGTCCAACTAATCAGTGATCTAATCAGTCTAAAGTTGCTTTTCTGGCCTTAAAATTTATATATATGCATGCATCTGCACACATGTAAACATGTAAAGGCAGGTATACATATATAAACATATAAATATTGGAAAATCAGACTAAAGTTGGATTTTTTTCTCCATTTATCTAGAGAAAAGTAGTGACGCAGCCTTTCAAATGGTTATGTCCAACAGTGCAGTGAGAATTAAATAAATGCAATTTATGATTGCTGAGTCACAAAGGATGCTTGATTTGTTGGTACCTACTTTCTATGCATATAGTACTGTTTAGAAGAATCAATATTTAAGCTTACTAGTTTTAGGGATTTTTTGCAATATATGATGCTGGTATTTGGGGTCTGATGAGCTACAACCAACAATATCACCTCTGCTTGGACTCCTCTATGTAGTTTTTTGTCATTTAATTAATAGACTTGATTTTCCTGAGTAGTTTCAGCTTTTCAGAAAAATTGAGCAAAAAATAGAGTTTCATATAATCCCTTTCCCTCTCTCACTCTCATGGTTTCTCCTATTTTTAACATCTTGCCTTAATGGGGTACATTTGCTACTACTGATGAGTTAATATTGATATATTATAATTAACAAAAGTCCATAGTTTACTTATCCCCCCTCCCCTTTTTTAAAATGTTTTTGTTATAGGGAGTGTGTACTTGCTGGAGAGAGACACGGAGAGGGAAAGTGAGAAATCATCCCCTAGGGGGATGGCCACACAGCAATCCTTTGTCTTCCATTCTCTTCTCAGGATTTTGGGCACGCACACACATGTACCACCAGGTGTGATTTTCAAGCCACTGGGTCCAGGACTCAAACCGTGATCAGCCACGTGGGAGTCCAGCACCTTAACCGCCATGGCACCTGCTGGCCCCTATAAGCATACACTCTTTATGTTGTCTAGTTCTAGGGATTTGACAAATGCGTAATGTCATGTATCTACCATGACTGCATCGTACAGAATAGTTTCACTGCCCTAAATACTCCCTGTAGCTATTTTGTCCTTTAGAGCACAGCATCAGGTAACACATACAACCCTTATAGTACGCATACATACAAACACGTAGCCTCACATCTCACACCGGTCAGCCTACAAACCTGGTGAGTGCTTTTTCCAGGAAACACACACACACACCAAAAAACCTGAGGGTTTCCAGCTGACTGGTTGTCCTTTCAAACAAACTCTCTGTTCTGGAAAAAGCACTCACTAATACAAGCATCCAAGCATCTAGCAATTACCTGGTATGAATTGACCTGTATATTTCTGTTGAAAATAACAAAGATGATATGCTTCTATACTGCCGGGGCTGGATTGAGAAAGTACAGCAGGGAACAGAAGACCAAATTTCTATACTAATCCGTGAGATGGTTTATTCTCTTAGTTGGAACGACAAGTATTTCAGCTAAGATTTCTGGGAAAAAACATGTCTACTTTTCAATCTGCAGTTCAAACATCATTACCCTGTCTTTGCTGTGACCAAAAGGCAATTTCCTTCCCTGTTGGCCTCCATAACATTTTCCATCTGTTTAGTGAGTTGCTAAATACTTAACTATATGACAGCCACCATATTAGGACAGAGTAGCAAACAGAATAGACATGATCCCCACACTCCTGGCGTTATAGCATAGACATTTGCAGATGGTATGCAGGTATTATAATTGCATCTGATGCCTAGTAAAACAGGATGCTATGGAAGCAAGTCACGGATGCTCCAATTGTAAGGGGAAGGGGCTCAGGAAAGGCCTCCCCAAGGAAGGAACAACTAAATTGAGATTTGAAGAATAACTAAAAGTTAGATAAAGAGTGGAGAGAACAGTTTTCCAGGGAGAAAGGAGGGCATGTTCAAGTCCCAATATCAAGAGAGTACCAGGCATGATTAAGAAATGAGAATCCATGCTGGAACAGGGAGTGCCAGAGAGGCTGGTTGAAGGAAGTGGTAAGGATGTTAGAGATCCATGTCGAGAATTTTAAACTTTCTCCTAAGAGTGAAAGAAGCCATTTCACATTTTCAAGCTGGGGATTTATATGATCTGATTTGCATTTTTAAAAGATAGCTCTGGTTGCAGAGTGGAGACCAGAGTGTACGAGGGCAAGAGTAGATTCAGGAAGAACAAACAGACTCATATTAACTCAGGTAAGGGAGAGCATTAGCTTGGATGAGTTGCAGCAGAGAGGTTGAGAAGAAAAAGAGAAATATCAATAATAGGCAGACATTATAAGATATGGGGAAGAGCTGGACAGTGGAGGGCAGGGGGAAGGGAAGAGGTTCTGGGTTGAGCACTTATGTTGAAGATGGAGGCACCATTCACAGGAATTAGGAGCAAGGGACCCAAATTGGAAAGAAAGTCATGAGTTCTGGTTATACTCGCTGAGTTGAGGTCCCTGAAGAACCATCAAGTAGGCTAATGTATTTATTGAGGCTCTCAGAGAAGTTCTTTCAAAGGCTCTTAAGAAGAACAAGATGATCTTAGGTGCTGCACCTAGCATGAAGAGACACTGAAACACAGCAATTGCAAACACCTTTTCACCAATGCCTATTGATGTTTTTGATTACATCAGGGAAAAGATCTTATTTTGGGGCCAGCAGGTGGCATGGTGGTCAAGGGCACTGGACTCCCCATGTGGCTGACCACGGTTCAAGTCCCAGACCTGGCAGCTTGGTTTCTTGCATTCTCCCTCTCTCTCTCATTCTGTCCCTCTCTGATCAAATTAAAATAGTTAAATAAAGTAATAAAAAAAAAAAAAAAAAAAATTTAAAAAAAAAAAAAAAAAAAAAAAAAAAAAAAACGTATTTCATACTCCTCTCTCCTTTTTGGCAATATAGTGCCGTGACTTCTGCAAAAAACGATGGTGCTGTTTTTACCATACAAACTTTAATTCCTATTTATGATAATGATTTTCAATCATGATACTGTTTTAAAGTTTCCTTTATAAATACATTTATTGAATTGCAAATTTAATTAATATAAAGAAACTATTAAGGAGATCATGGTTCATATGAATCCTTGGGTATGGGAAAAACCTTAAGATGGTATGTGAATGACTGAGCATTGGTCACATTTCTGGAGAATAAATTTAAACTTTCCTTCAATCAACAATAAATACTAAAGGGATAGCCTTCCACATTTGAGGGTTACTTTTTCTAAGTCCACAGTGGTTAAAGAGGAAAGCACCCTTGGGACCAGCATATGGTGTAATGGTTACATTGCTGGACTCCCACATGAGTCCCGGATTCAGTAACTTGATACTCACGCCAGGTGCACGTGTGCTCAAAATCCCAAGGGAGAGTGGGATTGTGGCATGGCCATTCCACCTGGGGGGTGATTTCTCGTTTTCTATCTCTCTGCCTCTCTAGGTGAGCATGTGAGCAAAAACTAACTCTCATGGAGAGAGATAACCACCTTGTCAAGACTAGGTTGGTATCTTCTGAGCTTATGACACAAAAAGGCAGATGTGTGCAGGAGAAAGTTTAAGATTAAGAAAAATAAATCTACGTATTTTAACCCTGCTACTGAGGCAGCATAAGATGCTGTCTTTTCACAATATGTTTACTATTATTATGACTTAAGAGAGAGGGAGAAGTGACAAGGTCCCCCAGCAGGGTCTTTGTGCTGCCATTCACCCATCTCAGTTGGCCTGGATCACAGGCACATGAGAATGCACCCAACATACTCAGGGAGGTCCTGAGAGGTGAACTCACAACCTTTCCTATCAGTCCAACTTTGTTACCCCTACTCCACTGCCTGCTCCCAGAATACTAATAGGTAGAATATGCTTCTAATTGTGATCCTCACAATTTTGTTCTTTTGTTCTTTCTTTTAGCAACTATACAACTCGATGTCGTAGAAGCAGAGACAGAGGAGATAACACGGGGAAATACACTCCTCAGGGCCAGGAGAACGACAAAGCGATTATCTGTTACATCTCTTCCTTCAGGACTGCAAAAGGTAAAACAATAAAATAAGTTGACTTCTAAAGACTTACACAAAAGTCAATGTTTAGAGCTTTTTCAGAAATCCAGTTTTTAGGTCAGTCACATGGTGGCCAAGGTGGCTGGATCCCACATGGCTGACCAAGCTTGGTTCAAGTCCCAAATCTAGTGGCTTGAAAAACCATGCTGAGTGAGTGTACGTGCATGCCCAAAATCCTGAAAGGCGGGAGAGAGGAGAAGAGATCATGGCATGGCCATCTCGCACACGGGGTGCTTTCTTGCTTTCCCTCTCTGTCTCTCAGTCTCAAGTGCATACACCCTCTGGCAAATTAAACACACACACACACACACACACACACAACTGGTACTCAAACAATGTGGTTAGCCACATGGGATCCAGCTGCCTTAACTACTAGGCTATGGGCTAGCCCCAGAAGGTCCTGCAGATCAGAGAAGGTCCTACAAGTGACATCTGAGCTGCAACATGCTGGCAAGAGAGCAGCAGACTCCATTTGTAAACTCCAGCAGGCAAGGTTAGGACCCACAAATGCCCCACACCATATCTGTGTAGGTCTCAATAGTCCTAATGTTAATTACTAAGCACAAGGGGGAGGAAGAGTGAATCCAATAAAACTAAAAAGAACAGATTAGTCAGAAGCCATAACCTAGGAGTGATTTCCAATAGCAACACTATTAAGAAAGGTACTTGTAACTACTAAGCCAGGGGCTATGGGAAAAGCATCAGGCATGGGGTAAAAACAACCCACGGCTTTCTTTTTATGCTTGGAGTCCACACTGCCATGAAAAATAAGGAAACCTGCAGAAAAGAGACCAAATTAACAACTGGATCCAGTGGTAATGAGCTTTCTGGGGCATTGGTCCACAACAGCACCGCACTCTCACTGCGCTCAGCAGCTGCAGATGCAATTTCGACTTCCCCTTACGAATGACCTGCTTTTTTCCTGACGCTGTATATTCATTCAGAGCCAGACAATCTCATTTCTCTGCACTCTACAGATCTCTTCAAAGGGAACTCTGTGCACAAAGCAGATACATGGGGCGTGGAGAATAATATGAATACGGCCTCCAGCCCAATGTTGTTATGTGGCAAATGTTCAGTTCCCAAGAGACTGTCCCAATGGTGAGAATTCTTATTTAAGTGCCATCACAGAAACAATAATGGTACTTCCTAATCTCATGTGCTTTTGCATTTTTATGATAGGTTCCATATTCATCAAAAAAGAGACCACACTTTCTAGTTCTTAAAAAAAAGAAACATGGCATGGGACGCATCCTCCGAAAATCAGATTTGACCGTGGGAAAGCTTCAGATGCAGGTAGTGGACAAAGGCTTTTACTTTGTGTCTCAGAAGCATCAGTGGGCTGGGCTTACCTGTGCATTTGCACAGCCCTGCCGGACAGCATGGGCATGGGGTGTGGGATAAAAGTAATGATTAACATTAAGAAATTATGTTAGTGGGGAGCATTCTGAGAGTGGCTAATGGGCTGCTCAGGGCACCTAGGATGATGCTGCGTGCCTAATAAGTAGTAGGTGAATTCAATTAAAACGAAGGTATGCACATAGGTTTCTTCTGAGAAGAAATGAGATCGTCTTTACCACTGGGTGGTAAATGTATGTTTTCAAGCTCTGTTTGCTATCTATTGAATTACAATAATACTCTGGGATTTGCAAAACGTCCCCTGATTCCTGAGCTCACCTCATAGGAAAAGCAATTTTGATCTTTGGTTTTGGTAAGGTTTTCTAACACATGGCTTCATTTCTTTGTATTTACCATAGGTGGATGACCTCATAGAAACAGTGACTGATAAATCTATGAAGTTACTGGCCCAGAGACATGCTGAGCTTCAACAGTGTGAATTTCTAGGTGACGAAATTCTTCAGTCTTCTAAGCAGTTTCAGAGAATGTCCAAGAGAACCATGAGGAAATATAAACTGAAAAATGTGTGTTTTCCATGTACCTGCTGCTGCTTCTGATTTTGTTCCTGATGTATAAAGCTTATCTTCATAGAATTTATCTTTTGGAACATAATCCTGAATAAACTTCTCTGGTGGATTAATCAATGGGACAGTAGGCAATATTTTGGAATATTCTGTCCAAGCCCTTAAAAAAAAGACTCTTTTTGAAAAAATTTAATTTTAATTCTAAACCAATGTATGCAAAGTTTGCCTTATTATTCTTGCTAATAATGGAAAATAGAAACACTTGTCAGGGCATAACAAAGGAACTTCTCTCATGATTTGCTAGAAGAAATTAGAAGACACATTTAAAGGTGTTATGACATTTGTGGGATTAGCAGATGGTGGTGTAATGGTTACATTGCTGGACTCCCATATAGTTGACTGCTGTTTGAGTCCTGGACCTGGCAGCTTGAAACTTATGCTGTGCACGTGTGCGTGCATGCCCAAAATCCCAAGAGAATAGAGGAGAAGGGATTGCAGTGTGGCCATCTGTCCTGGGGAGTGATTTCTCACTTTCTGTCTCTCTGCCTTTCTCTGTCTCTCTAGCAAGCGTGCACACCCTACAGCGAAAATCTCTTTAAAATAATTTAAAAAGGTATTATGACACTTGTAACATGATGACTGCTACTGAGCAAATTTTAAACTTTCATTTTTAAAGATAAAATCTTACTAAAATTATAAAACTGTTACATTATTGAGGTGTGATTCATGCAAAGTGCCATGTTTCTGAACTAACAGAAAGGATAAGGATGGAATCCAACAAGTATTGCATATGTAATTCAATACTTTAGAAAATTACAAGCTATGCAGCCTTAGCTTAATTTTTAAAAAGATTATGAGATCCTTCATCAAAGACAATCTTAAACTGTCTCAAACAATTCTTCACTTTATCAATATTCTTTCTATTGAAAAGGACTCTGAAAGAACAAAAACATATCAACAGAACATGTAATGACAGCATTCTCAAGTATTAAGTAGAGAGATAGAAAGTAAATGAATATTGATTTACTTTGCATGCTGTAATTACCTCTCACACCAGTGATTCTTAACATCATGGATCCTCTCCTCACAATCGGCATAAACCACAAACATTTTGCATATAATTTCACTTGTTCATGGCCCTCTTGAAACCTGTTCATGGACTCTATTTTCAAAGTGGTAGCAATTTCCAGAAATTGACTCATTTACTCATGTATATCCTATAAATGCCACCTTCTCACAATCATCAATCTATTTTCTAAGTCAATCAATGCTACCAGTTAAAAACTATCCAGAACACAAAAATATATCTGGCTTGAAAATATTTTATTAAACATTTTTAATGGGCTTCCTACTTTTTAAGTTTAAAAATAAAAAAAAGTATTTCTATTTCAATAGAAATAAATTTATACTGAAGTTATTTGCCTTTTTGTGAGGAATACGAGAAAAATGGTCATTAATATTTAAAAGCAAAGAACTTTCCAGCCGAAACTTTACATAGCTCAAGAGCATAACAAATTCTAAAGATCATGTAATTATGTCAGTATTTTAGGGAATGGTGAGTGATTAGCCTATGGCTTAGGATCTGCTTCCATGCTTGTTTCTTGAGCTTCTTCCACCTCTGAGAGCTTTTCATCATCTGTAATTGAGAAAGAAAAGTAACACCTTAGTCGACGATTTCTAATTTGCCTAAATTTTATGTTTAACACATACATGGAAATGTTTTTATTCTTGATTAACCAATTCATTCAAAGCAAAAATGGCAAAATGATTATGACTGCCTTTAGACCACATTAAGTGTTTTTTGTTTGTTTGTTTGTTCTTTTTCTCTTTAGAGAGAGAGTCTTGCTATCAGGCGCGTACACTTGTTGGAGAGAAGAGAGAAAGAAAGCGAGAAATCACCCCCAGGAGGGATTGGCACACTGCAATCCTTTCTCCTCTTGGGATTCTGGACATGCACACACATGCATCCAGCGTGAGTTTTAAACTGCTGGGTCCAGAACTCGCACTATGGTCAACTACGTGGGAGTCCAGCAACATAACCATTATGCCATCTGCTGGTCCCAGAGTTTTAAAACTTTTGCTTTTAACAGTGCTCTTTTAGTTGTTGTTTATTGGTTGAAACAAAATCTACAATCAGTATGATAGATTTCACTAAAAAAAAAAAAAAAAGCCAAAGCCTGGCTTTAGATTTCCTCAAAATAATTAGAAAATCAGGTAATGCAGAAATTTCTAAAAGGCTACAGTGGATACAAGACCAGGTCTCCAGTTCCCCAAACCAGCTATCATTCACTAGGTATGCAAATGTTCTCGTGTAGTGATTACTTATTATTGCCTGCCTGGGTCCAGGGTCATTAATTTTATCATAATAAAAGACAATAAATCAAGAAAAATTCCAAATCTATTATCCTTGATTTTTTTCTTAATTTGAACCACTAGATATGTATTTACATCAAATATTCCTATAAACTAAGACTTTTCTGCATATATCCAGAAGTTGGAACATGAGTACCTTCTAATATCATCTAGCTGTACTTCTGCTCAGAAACTGAAGATACCTCTCTCTTCAATGTGTATAGTACACAAGGCACACTGTTGGATCACTTAAAAACTTCCATAAACATTCACTTTAAGTTTTATTTATTTTTTAAATTTTTCTTTTGTTTTGTTTGTGTGCTTATTTCAAGAGAGAGCACATGACATCTCCAACAGGGCCTTCCTACCACCATTGGCCCCCAGTCTCAGTTGTCATGCCCACAGAGGTCCCCCAAGGCAAACCCAGGACTTTTCCCATGTGGGTTCAAGTGCAGTACTATTGCAACATTATTTCTACTTACTTTCTAATGTTTGTTGAAGTTCATGGATGGTACTAAGAAGAACATGAAACTGTTTGCGTCTCAATTCCAGCTGTGTTAATAAGAAAAATATTTATACATGTTGATCTGTAAACATACACAGACTACAAAGACTAACATACATATGCAAATACCTTATCTTCAACACTTTCTTTAATATGTGAAAGATGCTCTAATTCTTTTCCCAGAGCTTCTAGCTCCCTGGGGGAAGGAAAAAAAAAACAAAGATATCAATATCATATTTTCCTAATTGGGAAAATGGAATTTATAATTAATATCCAACTTTTCAGTTCTAAATAGTACTTTAAAATATATAAACAGAGAGTAGTAAGGTGGTGAGGCTTTTAAAGCTGAGGATGATTTCTTCTTGATCCTAAAGATGCACTTATTTTCATTAAAATTATATTTTTAGGTAAAATTTTAAAGTTTGAGAAATCACAGATAACAGAATTATAAAATCTAAGAACTAATTGTGATCAATTTTGTCACACTTTAACTTTTCTTTTTTTTTTCCTGGTAAAATAAATAAAACATTGCCAGTTAACATGAACTACATTTTGAATCTTACCTGAAGTCCGCTATCCCAGGTCTTTTTTCCTCCTCTACTCTCCCACCCAGGTAAACATATTGTTCTAATTCCTTTTTAATGTATGTATTTCTATCTCTGAATAATTTTTAACTTTTATAAATGGTTATTATTCTGTATATATTACTTAAACTTAGGAATAATCTAAAATTCTTTTTTTCCTATTATGTTTTGAGATCTGTACTTTTAAAATATATAACTAGTTTATTCTTTTTAACTGCTATTTAGTATTCTACTACATCAATAGGCCATGTTCTATTTATCCATTTTCCCACTGATATATGTTACATGTATTTACTTTAGATCTATAAGGCTAGAGACAGAAAAAAATCTAATTAAGTAGTATTAGACTCTACTTCCAGTGTTAAGTCCAGCCACAATGGCACAGGAAGTAGGGCACTGCTTCTCTGCAGTGCTGGAGTCATAGGGAAGACCGTGATTTGGATCCAGGATCAACTCGAGATGTGCATGTGCCTGTGATCCCGGTTGGCTGAATGACTATGGGGTAAGGGAGGGAACATTGTGTGACAAGGCCCTATAAAGCGTACCTGTTTTTCTCAAGAAATAAAATAAAGTTTAAAATTTAAAAAATAATATACAATATTGAAGGTCTGATCCCTTTTTTATATATTTCTATAAAAATGAAATCAATAAGCTAGTACATTTATGTATAAAGGATAGTTCCTTTCAGAGCCAAGATCTATACTTACTTTAATGTCTCATGCCTGTCTGGATGATGTTGAATCACTTTTGCCAAAGCATCATATTCTGAAAGACACAAATACATTAACCAAAGTAAGAATTTTTTTCAATTTGAATGATCAAAACAAAACGTATAGTATCACAAATCTCTACTAATCACTTTCCTAGTACATAAGGAAATGAAAACATTAAACAATGGAAAGAATATTAACATTTTACTTGATTCAACCATAACGATAATGATATGTGACATCAAAAGTGTTCTAAACAGGACCAGCCTAGTTTGTGCAGTTTATAGTGCACTAGATTGCAGTGCTGGAAGCCACATGGCTCACCAGGAGTTTTGTTCGTAGGATCAGTCTGCGGGCATGCTGGGCTGGTATGACTGAGGAGTTGGAGGGCTAGAGAAAGGGGATTACAATGTGACAAGCCCTGGTGAGAGTACTCTCTATCTTCCTGTCATTCACGCATGCATGGGCTCTCTATCATTAAAAGAAAAAAGTGTTCTGGGGCCAGCCCTTGGTGTGATGGTTAGGGTACTGGACTCCCACATGGACGATGGTGGTGTGAGTCCCAGATCTGGCAGCTTGATACTCACATCAGGTATGTGTGGATGTGTGCCCAAAATCCCAGGAGGAGAATAGAGAAGGGATTGCAGCATGGTCATCCCCTCTGGGGGTGATTTCTCACTTTCCCTTTCTCTTTCTGTCTCTCTCTGGCAAGTTCATGCAGTTATGGCAAAAACCTGAAGGAAAAAAAAAAGTTCTAAACAGAAGTTTCAGCTCCTATTTCTGTCTTTCCATTTACCTTTACCAGACAGAATATAAAAGGTTTGCACAAATGTAAGTAAACTGAAGTCAGAACTGATGTCAAATGGATGAATTCTAAATAAAATCTTACTATTTACTGCCAGTAAGTCATGTAACTCCTCTTAACCTTCCTCATGAAATGATAAATGTTAGGTTTCACTTAATAGACTTACTAATCAATAAAAACACTGTTTACAAAGTATTTTAAATCACTTAGAATTGACATTAATTATTAAATAAGTGGGTATATCTTGCTGTAAACTAATCACCAAAACTTCGCCACACACATTTTCACTGAACCCAACAATCAATTTTGAAAACTAGGGATTAAATTTAATCCTTCATCTTAATTAGCTTATTAAAAAGTAAAGTTAAGGCACCAGAAGATGGCATAATGGTTATGTTGCTAGACGTAACTGTGGTTCAAGTCTTGGACTCGGGAACTTGGAACTCATGTTGGATGTGTGTGTGCATGCCCCAAATCCTGAGAGTAGAATGAAAAAGAAGGAATTGTGGTATGGCCATAACCCCAGGATGGGGGTGGGTGACTTCCTGCTTTTGGCTATCTCTCTGGTTGAGTGCATGTGCCCTGTAGCAAAAACCTCTCTACAAAAAAAAAAAAAAAAAAGTAAAGAGGCTAGTAGTTCAAGTCCCAGACTGGTGTCTTGAAAATCACAAAAGGTATATGTGCACCCAAAATCCCAAGATGAGAATCGAGGAGAAAGAACTGCAGTGTGGCCATCCTCCCTGGAGGGTGACTTCTCACTTTCCCCTCTCTCTGTCTTTGTCTTTCTCTCTCAGGCAAGTACATGTACCCTAAGGCAAAAAAATCCTTTAAAAAAAAAAAAAAAAACTAAGGTAATTGTTTTGGAAATCAGTATATTAATTCAATAAAATAATACTTTTTTAGACAAAATTTTTTTCATATAAAATTATACATGCTCAGTGGAAAACAAAACGAAAACAAAAAGAACCTAGGCCATAAAACCCCACAAACTCAAAGTAATCATCAACATTATGCATTTCCTTATAGTTTTTCTTACATGTTACAATTGTGATTATATACTATGATTTTATTTGTGTTTTTATTTTTTCTAATTTACCTTATAATAGGAGGAATAATAACCTTGCTATTAAAAGTTATTTTTAGGGCCAGAAGGTGGTGTGGTGGTTAAGGTGCGGGATTCCCACGTGGCTGACCACAGTGTGAGTCCTGGACCTGATGGTTGAAAATCATGCTAGGAGCACCAGCAGTTAGCATAATGGCTATGTCGCTGAACTCCCCGGGTGTAATTTTTCATTATCCCTCATACTGTTTCTCTCTCTCTGGCAAGTGCACATGTCCTATGGTAAAAATCTTTAAAAAAAAAAATTTGAAATAGTTTTTATGGACTTCTTGAGGACATACCCTAATTTAAAAGCAAAAGAGACTACTAGAACAAGGTCAAACTTTCAACCTTCTTACTAGATATTTAGGCAGCCTATAAATGTTTGCTTGCTTTCTTTGTAATAAACCTCACTGGGTTTTCATTTTTCCTTTTTATTTTTTTGAAAGTAGCTCCATTAAACAAACTGTAAATCTAATGTACTTATGAAAATCGCTTTTACTGATTAATAATTCTTGGGCAAGACTGTTTAAAAACAGTAAAAAATTAGTACATAGGAAATACTTGGATAATCAGTACAAGCTAGCAAAGGACCCCCAACCCCACACCAAGTGTAGCCTTCCTTCTCGTTTTAAAGACTACTATAGTTTTAAGGAATTAAATTGGGCTCTTAATTCTTTTTTTTAATTCAGGTTGATTTTGGCTGAAGATTTTACCTCACAACATTAAAAACTGCATGAAAATACTAGTTGGTAATAAAGTATTTCCACGCTAAATCCCTCAAAACCCTTACCTTGACGGTTTTTTCGTATTCGTTTTGCTTGAAGAATTTGCTTTTTGCACTCAGCAATTTTTTCATGTGCTCCAGCAATGCTACATTCTATAAAAGAAGGTTTATTTTAAAGATAGTTATAACAACATGTATAATCTCCAACCATTTTCAATTTTAAAATGGGTTTCCAAATTGAAGTTCCACTGTTTACAAAATAGGTGTTGACATTTTAAAAAATTGCTGCAACCCAAAGGATTGTATCAGATTAGAATACACATTTTTATACCTGACATTTATTATATTCTATTAACATTGTAATTATTATCCTTTTACTAATAATCAAAACTGTAAGCAGATTTTGTTTCTTTTAGACCGTAAATAATAAAATTACAGATAGAACTACTAATTGCTTTAAGATTCTTTACCTATTTCTTTGTAAATTTTTTCATAATTTTCCATTTCTCTGAGATTCATATCATACACCAACAAAGTTTTGCCCATCGAAAATTCACATTGAGACAGTGTGCTCAACATACGTTGGTACTGGCTATATCTAATGAGAAAGAGAAAAACAGAATAAAAATGTTTGTAGACCACCAGAGTTGAATTATTATAATTCAGGCAAATTTTTTCTAATTAAGTTACACCAAGCTCTGAGAGAATCACTTGCTTTATCCAAAACAATTTAGAATATTTGTTGCTTACATTTTCTTTTTCCAGATGTAGTGTACTTGAATTTATAAACTATTTTTCTTACACATGCAAAGATGAGACTGTTGTTCTTATCAACATAGACCCAAACAACTATTGTTTGAATCTTACTAAAACACTTAAACATTCTTTTTATTAAGGTGGGTTTTTAAAATCTATGATTACTTATTTATATTTGTTGTACATCTCTATTATACTCAGTATGTTTTTTTAAGAAAGGCATGCATTAAGTCAAGGATGATACCATATACATCATTCTCAAAGGAGAGCTTTACATTCTTTTGTCTTAATTATTAAGCATTCTTTGTGGTGTTGTTCTCATAATTTTTTCACTCTATAAATTATTTATCTAGATGTAAAGTGAACTAAAATGAGAGGAAATTTCCTACATTAAAAACTATCAAGAATGTATGTAAATATCTTCCAGTAACTTAACAAACAAGAAAAATTCATTTATTTCATCTTACTAAAAACACTTATCTGTGGTAAGTAAATATATTAATGAATGTAAATTTAATCTTCATTCTTTTTACCTGTTTCCTAAAAAATTTAATAAATCTAAGAGGCCCCTGAAGAGAAGCCCAGTAAAATCTACTCTTGATTAATCAAGAGTTGGCTCTACTGGACATTTAAGGTGAATAAAAATTAGAAATATTAACCAGATCTTAATACACGATCTAAAATCATATCAGGGTATTGGAAAGAACAGTAAAAAGAAATACCCCTCTTCTTGGGATCCAGAGTTGCACCACTTAATGAAACTCTTTACTAGCAGATTGATTCTCCGATCATCTCCAGCACCATCTCCATCAATTAGCAGACGCTTCCGTATGACTTCGTCTGGAGGAAAGAAGAGCAATGGCAATTAAAATGACCATCTGGTTTTTGGTAACTTTTAAGGACAAATAACCAGTATTACGACTCATTCACTCATTCGAAAGAAAATTACTGAAAGGTAAAAGTACTTAATGCCATTGAATTATACACATAAGATGGCTACCTAAATTAGTAAATTTTATGTTATACATATTTTGCCACAACAAAATATATCTGTGTAGTAAAGAAAAAATGTTGTTGAGAGTCTACTGTGTGTCACGTGCTGTCCTAGTGGCTGGTATTGTGGCAGTGAAAAGTTTTGTCCCCACAGAGTTGGCATTCTGCTGAGTGGTTGAGTGGAAATAATTTTCAGGTACAACCAAGGAAAGAAGCCCATCACTGTTAGAAAACCTTTCTTTTGACAGAAGGAAACAAACGTTTGTGTCTTTGGGTAGTGAGAGGCATTGACAAGAGCAAGAGAAAAGAAAATTTAAAAGATTTAGAGGCAGACTAAGAAAAGTGAATATGAAAGACAGGTCAGAAAAAAAGGGAATGAATTTGGTAAGGTGTTAGCCTCCCAAGTGGTCGAACCCAGGTTGAGTCCTGGACCTGGCAGCTTGCTCTCTCACTTTCCTTCTCTCTCTGATGAGGACATGTGCCCTATAGCAAATTAAAATAATAATAATAAATTAAATTAAATTATTTTTAAGAAGTATAATTTAGTTATTGTACTTACTAGGTATCCTTCCCCAAGATTTTATTTTTAAACAAAGACTGTCTCACTTTGACATAAAGAAAAAAAGACAGAAAAAGGAATAGAAAAGCATGCAGATGATAATGATGAATAACAAGCAGAATTCCTACCTTCCTGCCCAGAATAGCCAGTGTTCTTACCTATGCAAAATAATGCTGGATCATAAAGAGAGAAAGGCCAGTTGAAACCACAATAAAATATCACTTTTCATCAGCCTGATGGAGATCAAAAAACCCAATAATAAGTATTGGCCAGGGTACTGGAAACTAAACTTACATATACTGACAGAATGAAACTGATATTCTTCGTAAGGCCAATGGACAGTATCAAAATTCAAAATTCAGATGCCTTTCTCATCCTTTAATTCTAATTCTAGAAATCTATCCTATAGGTCTATGTGCACTCATGCACAAAGACAGATGCAAAGGGATGTCTTAGTGGTGCTGTTCTGTGGTAGAAAGAGCGCAAACCTAAACATTCATCAGTGAGAGACGGGTTAAAAATTATGAATTATTCACACAATGTAATAGTATGTAGACAAAAGAAAACCCCACAGTGATGTATAGACTGATGCAAAAAAAAAAGTCTCTTTGTTGAGAGTCTACTGTGTGTCACGTGCTGTCCTAGTGGCTGGTATTGTGGCAGTGAAAAGTTTTGTCCCCACAGAGTTGGCATTCTGCTGAGTGGTTGAGTGGAAATAATTTTCAGGTACAACCAAGGAAAGAAGCCCATCACTGTTAGAAAACCTTTCTTTTGACAGAAGGAAACAAACGTTTGTGTCTTTGGGTAGTGAGAGGCATTGACAAGAGCAAGAGAAAAGAAAATTTAAAAGATTTAGAGGCAGACTAAGAAAAGTGAATATGAAAGACAGGTCAGAAAAAAAGGGAATGAATTTGGTAAGGTGTTAGCCTCCCAAGTGGTCGAACCCAGGTTGAGTCCTGGACCTGGCAGCTTGCTCTCTCACTTTCCTTCTCTCTCTGATGAGGACATGTGCCCTATAGCAAATTAAAATAATAATAATAAATTAAATTAAATTATTTTTAAGAAGTATAATTTAGTTATTGTACTTACTAGGTATCCTTCCCCAAGATTTTATTTTTAAACAAAGACTGTCTCACTTTGACATAAAGAAAAAAAGACAGAAAAAGGAATAGAAAAGCATGCAGATGATAATGATGAATAACAAGCAGAATTCCTACCTTCCTGCCCAGAATAGCCAGTGTTCTTACCTATGCAAAATAATGCTGGATCATAAAGAGAGAAAGGCCAGTTGAAACCACAATAAAATATCACTTTTCATCAGCCTGATGGAGATCAAAAAACCCAATAATAAGTATTGGCCAGGGTACTGGAAACTAAACTTACATATACTGACAGAATGAAACTGATATTCTTCGTAAGGCCAATGGACAGTATCAAAATTCAAAATTCAGATGCCTTTCTCATCCTTTAATTCTAATTCTAGAAATCTATCCTATAGGTCTATGTGCACTCATGCACAAAGACAGATGCAAAGGGATGTCTTAGTGGTGCTGTTCTGTGGTAGAAAGAGCGCAAACCTAAACATTCATCAGTGAGAGACGGGTTAAAAATTATGAATTATTCACACAATGTAATAGTATGTAGACAAAAGAAAACCCCACAGTGATGTATAGACTGATGCAAAAAAAAAAGTCTCTCCTTAGATATGTTGAGTAAAATGAAAGCAAGACAGGTGCAAAGCAGCACATTCATAAGCTGCCATATTATGTAAAGGGGAGGATTTGCGTATAGTGGTATTTGTGTACATATCACACACGGACGTGCACATTATTCACTGCATATCTTTGGAAGGATACAGAAGAAATTAGTAATAGTGGTTGCCTCTGGTGAGGGGGACTACAAAAAAAAGATAATTTTCCTCCCTTTGTAGTTTTTAGAGGGATTGTGTTTGGGGGGAGGGTTTTTGTCTTGTCTTTCTTACCATGTGTATGCATTAGTTTTTAAAATAAATTTTAAAGTGTGAATAATTCCTGGAGAGCCTGCATGATGAATCAACAGCAAAATCTTTAAACAATAGTTCCGGTGTGTAGGCAGAAGTATTTTTGAGCGCAGGTGCAGCGGAGATAAACTTGGGGAGGCAGATGGCTCCAGTTTTAAAATATATTCTGTGATAACGCCAGATAAACATTTTTAGAACTGGGTTTTGTTCTCAGAGTCATGGCTTTGACAGACTGCTCACGCATCAGGTGTTTTAATTTTACATTTTAAAAATACAAACTAACGCTTTCAGTTTTTAGCCACCAGCAATGTTGTCTGAAGAAACAGAGATAAATAAAACAGTCCTCTAAGAGATTAAAATAAAAAAAAATTAATTGACTTTTTACTACAAATAAATTAATTTTATTAAAATAAAAGGAAATATCTAGTAGATAAAGCATTTCTAGTGGCATTGATGCTGACAATTCCTCCCCTGGTCTTACTTCTGCTCTAGTCAAATCCCGAAGAAATCTCACCTTCTCCCCAGATGCCTTGAAGATAGGGGCTTTTGAATGTAAATGATTTCAGGGAACAGGTCCAAGATCTGAGAAAAATAGGGAACTCACTGTCCTGACTGAGAAGGAAGTTGTTATCAGACCTGATTTTTCAAGAGATTTTTCAAGTTTGGTAACTAGAATGTGTAAAACATACTTCAAGTTCATTCCATCTGTACACTTAGGATGATGATGATGTGTGTATGTTTACCAATATATGCGATACTCCAATTACAAAAGTTTTTGAAAAATATTTAGAACATTGTACAGTCTAAAAAATCAAATCTACAGGTTGGTTTCATCTTCCCTACTAAGAGAAATGGTTCATGAAGGCCAGTCCTCTGTCTTCCTCCTCCTGTCTCCTTTCCAGCACCATAAGAGACTCAAATCATGTCTTACACATTTCAGATACTCAACAAATATTTTAAAATTGGACTTGTGACTGCACAGGCCCATTTTCCTCCTAAACAGCTTTGCATCAACAAATAACTAACAAATACTATCAAGCACCTATCTTATTTTCACATCCACAGCCGTGATTATTATTCTAGTCATGCAAAAAATGTGAATATCTGATCAATGCGCAGATGTGTCCGCAAGGTACCAGAGTAAGCTATGAGGATAAGAAATAAAGACCTCAGCTCTTTAATATTCATTAGGAAATAATATACATGTCAATATATATTTAGAGAGACACTGTGATTCTTAAATAAGTGACATAAAAACAGATTAGGAGGAAAGCTCTCTTTGGCCTGGGGAGATCAAAGGAGGTGGAACTTGAGGTGTTCACTTGATATTGAAAATCATTATTGGGGACCAGCAGTTAGCGTAATGACTATGTCGCTGGACTCCCACGTAGTCGACCGTGGTTCGAGTCCCGGACCCGGTGGCTTAAACTCACGCCGGGCGCGTGTGCGTGCGTGCCCAAGATCCCGAGAGGAGAATAGAGGAGAAGGGATTGCGGTGTGGCTACCACCCCCCACCCTGGGGGGTGATTTCTTGCTTTCTGTCTCTCTCTGTCTGTCTGGTGAGCGCACGCGCCCTATAGCAAAAACCTCTCAAAAAAAAAATCATTATTTAAAGAAGTTGAAGTGCGTTTTATCAATATCTATCAAAATTTCAAGTAACATATACCCTTTGACCCAACGATCTCAGATATACTTGCATATACACATTGATTATTCACTGGGACATTATAATAACAAAATATCGGATAAGAAAAATAAGTCAAATGTCCATAAAAATGGCACTGATTACATAAATTTTGTTATAAGAAAATGATGAAATAATATGAATATATAAGAATTGAAAATGTAGCATTTTACATACTGATATACACAGATGGTTTAATAACTTGTTACAAGAGTAAGATGAAGAGTATGTGAACAAAAATGTTTATCTGGCATTATCACAGGACTATGGTATATTCTTTCTCATATAAAAATGGGGAGGGGAACCAGCAGTTGGCATAATGGCTATGTCGCTGGACTCCCATGTAGTCGACCGTCGCTTGAGTACCAGACCCAGTGGCATAAATTCACACCAGGCGTATGTGTGTGCGTGCCCAAGATCCTGAGAGAATGGAGAAGGGATTGTGGAGTGGCCATCTTCCCTTGGGGGGTGATTTCTCGCTTTCTCTCTGTCTCTTTCTGTCTTTCTGGCGAGCGCACATGCCCCTATGGCAAAAATCTCTCAAACAAAACAAAACAAAACAAAACAAAACAAAACAAAACAAAACAAAAAACTGGGGGTGAGTG